TTGAAAACCACCCGCCTTCCATCCGTGAAGCTCTTGCAACATTTTAAACCGAATGTGCGCGGCGCTAAGGCGAGAGCCACATTTTGAAAACCACCCGCCCTCAATCCGTGAAGCTCTTGCAACACTTTCATTCGAATGTGCGCGGTGCTAAGGCGAGAGCCACATTTTGAAAACCACCCGCCCTCCATCCGTGAAGCTCTTGCAAACTTTTACAACGAATGTGCGTAAGGCGAGAGCCACATTTTGAAAACCACCCGCCCTCAATCCTTGAAACACTTGTTTTTTTTTAAACTAGTGTGCGCGGCGCTACAGCGAGCGCCACATTTTTAAAACCACCCGCCCTCCATCTGTGAAGCTGTTGCCACTTCTTAAGCTTCAGAGTCGTAAGTGGTGAGAGAGTCTCAGGCGAAACGCCCGGCCCGCCCTAAAAACGGGCCTCGGAGTGCGACAGGGAGAAATTATTTATACGCAAAAGGAGTAGAGGAGGAGGAGGAGGAGGAGGAGGAGGAGGAAAAGGTGGAGGCGGAGGAGGAGGCGGAGGCGGAGGAGAAAGAGGAGGAGGAGGAGGAGGAGGAGGAGGAGGAGGAGGAGGAGGAGGAGGAGGAGGAGGAGGAGGAGGAGGACGGTCGACACGGCTCGGATCGAGAGAGAGAGAGAGAGAGAGAGAGAAAGAGAAAAAAAAAGAGAGAAAGAGAGAGAGAAAGACCCCCCGCCTCCGGCGCAGAACCAGATCGCCCAGCGGGAGGAGGCGCGGAAGAGCAAGGCGCGGCGCCCCGCGCGCCGCGGCCCAGGGGGGGGGGTCCCGTTGTTCGCGAGCAGGGGCGGGAGAGGTCAGCACCACCGTGGCGGCCGACTACACGTATGAGTGACCCTTCGCCAGAGTGACTTGTCGTGCGGGCCCACGTGGGTCCCCCGATCGCTGAATGCGATACGATAGCAGCTGCCTGCGCGCGCTGGTTTGGTTCTCTCGCGACCTCCAGAAGCCGCGCACCAGAGGTCACACCTGCCTCGGGTCACTCTTGCGTGCAGCCGAGGCGGGTGCCTAGCGGCGGGAGCAGCCAGAGGGGCGCTGGTTTTCGGGCCGTTCCTCAGATGTGGGTCGGGGGCCCGGACATCTTGGCGTCGCAATCTTTTTGAGCTGACCGTTTTTGGCTCAGTTTGGAGCCCCAGGGCCCATTCGATGCGGCCTGAACAGTGCCGCGGAAAGTTTGGGTCTGGGACTTTGGTCAAGATTTTTCGAGTTGTTGCTGTTTTTCCGTGTCGTCTGATCTTAGGGGAGCCTGTTCGAGGCCGAGGCTGGCCGTTGCCAGAACAGGCCCGTTGTTCCTCATTCGGCGTTCCCTGTGTCTGGGCCTCCTAGATGGGGTCCGAGTAGGCAGTGTCGGAGGATCGCGCCGCATCGCCGATGCATAGGCGATGCGCTCGATGTGGAGCCCGAGCTTCTCCGCGTCGACGTCGCCGATGCATCGCCAGCGTCCCGGGAGCATCGCCGATGCATCGCCGATGCATTGGCGATGCGGCGCGATCCTTCGATCCCATCTACTCTGACCCCCGACGTCGTGATTCTTTCACGACTTCGACCCCAAGAAGTCTCGACCCATTCCCTAGGACCGTTTTTCATCCCGAGTCCTTTTTTGACAGTCGCGGAGTCTGGTAAGGGCCCCCAGAGTTCGAACATAGCAGCAACTTATCCGTCGTTTTTTCACGACACGGGTGCCGCCGGCGTTCAACGCTGAACCCCCAGAAACGGTCGAAGTTGAACGATCTGACGTCTCGGAACCAGCCGATTTTCAAAGTTGAACGTTCCCTGCTGTGTCAGGAACCAACGCCGGGGTCGACACGACACGAGCCTTCTGTACGCCAACCCTACTTATCAGGAGAAGGACATACACGCACATGAGTCCACATTGGTTTCGGGAGAGTACGCATGGCGCGACTGTTCGCATCACGCGGCTGGTCTCACGGACCGAGGGGCCGTGTTCATGTACACGGTTGGGCGCGCACGTCCGTTGTTGCTTCCCACTCCAGGAGGCCTCCCCTGCGGCAGCACGGTGGCCGTCCGTGCTTCGGCAGCGGCGCGGGGGGGGGGGCGGGCGGCGGGGCGGCGGCAGGGAGGGCGGCACCGCACCACTTCGCGCGGGGGGTTTGGTGCGGAGGAGCGGCTGGGCGAGCGGGGGAGCCCCCGCCTCTGCCGGGGGCCCATCGGGGTGGCGCAGAGGCGGGGGGAGTCCCGAGCAGTGGCGAAGCGTCCTGACGGGTCTGTGGGCCCACCAAGGGATGTTGCAAGAACCTCCTGTGGCTCGCACGAAGCCTCCTTACAACATTTCTGGCTGCGACAGTCTTGGTTGAATATCACCAGCCCTTCAGGGCGGAGATGGTTTACAGGCGTTTCCTTTTCCACTCCCTTCTTCCCTTCGGGGATGGATCGACCCCTCCCCCTGCTCCTTCCCCCTGGGTCTGGGTGTGGGGGGGCCGCGAGCGGTCAGGGCGCCAAAGATGGCCCCACATGGCTCCAAGAGGGGGCTTTCGTTCTCCAAGATGGCCTCCAAGATGGCCTCAAAGATGGCTCCCGATTCGCTCCCGATAGCTGAGGATGGCTCAAGATGGCTTCCAACATGCTCCACGAGGCCCCAAAGACCGCTCCAAGAGGGATCCAGGTGCTCTCGGACCCCTCTCAGGACCCGCCAAGAGGCCGAACTCCTTCAAGCACCAATGGAAAGACGTGATTGTTGTCTTCTCGCTTTTTTCGCTTCTGATGCGCTTTTGATGCTTCGAGATTGCCCCACGATTGCCCAACAGAGCCCCAAGAGGGACCCAAGAGGCCCCCCCAGACGGCCCGAAGAGCGCTCCAAGAGAGAGAGCCAAGAGGGCCCCAAGAGGCGATTTTGCGGGCCCCAGAGGGGGTACCTACGTATGGGACCCCCCTGGCCTCAAAGATGGCCCAGGAGGCCCTCCAGGGCTCCCAGGGAGCCCCAAGAGAGCCACAAGAGGGCTCCAAGAGGGTCCCAAGACTGCCCCAAGAGCGCCCCAAAGTGCTCCAAGAGCGTTCCACGATGGCCCCAGGAGGCGTAACGGGACGTGGATTTTTTCCACAACGTCGGTCCCCAAAGCTTTCGACCCATTCTCCGTGGCCGGTCCTCCAGTCGTCCATATTCAGTGTAGTCTTTGTGCACGGTCCCGCGAGCCGGCAGGGTCGGTGGCTGCCAGAAGAGTTCGTTGGACAACGTTGGTCTCGCTAGGCCTGAGGCCCCCCTCAGCCCGACCGGAGGCCCCTCAGCCCGACCTGAGGCCCCCCATTTCGATCTGAGGCGCCCAAGCAGCCGTCGACATCACCCTTCAGGAACCAGACCTTCTTGCCGTTCCCGATCGGGCCCCCAAAGGTGAGGGGGTCTGGGTCCTGCTCCTCCTCGCCCAAAGCTCGAGTAGGAGATCGACCCCAAAATTGCGAATCTACGAACAAAATACGTGTAGCGCTCGCACATTCAAGGAGTAGTAGAAGTTGGTTTTTGCAGATCTAGTGAAAACCAGTTTTGGGGGACATCAATTATGTAGTCGATCTCCGGTGTTTTTGTCCACGACGCGAGAGGGTCGGTCCTGCTCCTCCTCGCCCCATTGCACGGGGGAGGGCAGCCGCCCAGGACTTCGACTCCGCCGACCGCATCCGCGAGGCGCTGCGCCAGATGGGCGTGGAGCTCGTGGACAAGGAGGCAGCTGGCGCCCTCGCGCGCGAGCCCTCGGTGCCTGGCGCGGGAGCCTGCCCCCCAGATTGGGTGTTGCTGAAGAGCCCCTGGCCCACGGTGCCCCTAGCATTCAGCATTTCCAGGGAGGCCCCCACGGCCCCTGGAGCACCCCATCACGAGGCCCAGATGGCCCCATAGGGGAGAATAAGACCGATTACAGCCACTTCGTACAGTTCAGGAACTGTTTCGGTCAGAAGTACAGCCGCTGGAAACGGACTGATCGCAACCTGAAGGATTCCTATACAAATCTTTTTGGAGAACACCAGATTGCAACCGATCCAAGAGCTTCTGCAGAGCTTCTGCAGAGCTTCAGCAGAACTTCTGTAGAGCTTTAGCAGAGCTTCTGCAGAGCTTCTGCAGAGCTTCAGCAAAGCTTCTGCAGAGCTTCTGCAGAGCTTCCGCAGAGCTTCTGCAGAGCTTCTGCAGTGCTTCTGCAGAGCTTCCGCAGAGCTTCTGAAGATTTGTTGTCTGTTTTTTTTCAGAGCTTACGCAGAACTTTTGCAGAGCTTCTGCAGAGCTTTTGCAGAGCTTCTGCAGAGCTGGCAGAGCTTCAGCAGAGCTTCTGCAGAGCTTCTGCAGAGCTTCAGCAGAGCGTCAGCAGAGCTTCTGCAGAGCTTCAGAAGAGCACCTGAAGAGCTCTTGCAGAGCTTCTGCAGAGCGTCAGAAGAGCACCTGAAGAGCTTTTGCAGAACTCTCAGCGAGGCCTTTAAGAGGCTTCAGCGAGGCCTTTCAGAGGCTTCTCTGAGGCCTTTCTCAGGGGCTTCGTTGAGGCCTCAGAGAGGCTTCTCTGAGAGGCTTCTTTGAGCGGCTTCTCTGAGGCTTCTCTGAGAGTGTTTTTTTGAGAGGCTTCTCTGAGAGACTTCTCTGAGGCCTCTGAGAGGCTTCTCTGAGGCCTCTGAGAGGCCGAGGCCTCTGCGAGGACTCAGTGCGGCCTTTGAGAGGCTTCTCTGAGGCTTCGGCGAGGCTTCTGAGAGGCTTCCCAGAGGCGTCTGAGAGTTTTTTGAGAAGGCTTGTTCTGAGCTCTATTGGGCGCTCTATTTGGAGCTCAATTGGGCGCTGTATTGGGCGCTAGATTCGGAGCTCCATTGCACGCTCTATCACGAGCTATGTTGCGCGCTCTATTAGAAGCTTTATTTGGGCGTTCGATTCGAAGCTCGATTGGGCGTTTTATTGGGCGCTCTATGCGGCGTTCTAATCGGAGTTCTATTGGACGCTCCATGCGGCCTTCTGAGAGATCCCCGAGGCTTCCCGAATGTTCTCGAGTATCCCGGAGAGAAATTCCCTCGTAGGAATTCTTAAGATTTCCGAAGAGACCCTCTCAGGATTCTGGCGAATTCCTCAGACGAATCACTTGGTGATCGTATGCGAATCACATCGGCAGCATATACGAATCACATAGGAATCGCAAACGATTCGCGTATAAATCGTATACGAATCACATCGGAATCGTATACCGATCATGGCCACGTTCGAGCTCAAACACATGTGTTTAGCTGAGCTCATGATCGGCCGCCGGTGATCGGACCGATCGCAACCGCTTTTTCAGATTCCCATTGGGCGGCTTAGGGGAGTGCAGTGCACCCAGAAACGCTCTTACGATCCTTCTCTTAATCGAAACCTTATTGAAGCGACCCAAAAACATCGCAACCACTTCGGACCGATCGCAACTGGTTGTGATCGGTCCGACTTGGTCGACTCTCGGTCCGAAGTGGTTGCGATCGGTCTCCATCCCCCCCATAGGGCGCTCCAGAATGGAGCGAAAAGCTCGGGGTACCTTGGGCCAGGGGTGCCCTTCGCAACCACAGACCAGACCCTCTCGGTTTTCTTGCGTTTTCGCTGTTCTTGACGGTGTCCTACAGTGGAGGCCCATGCCAAGAAACACCCTGCTTGCCTCAAGGGTGCCTTGGGTTTCTTGGATTTCGATGGTTTTGCAAAATTATCCTGGCGAAGGACCCAACCATATGCAATTGTGAATAACGCTTTGTGGGTGCCGCTTTCGGTGGGGCTCCTTATGGGGCCACGAAAGGCGTGCCACGAAACGCTGTCCTGGGCGTACGGGGCGCATGAGGGCGGTAGCACTGGGGCCTTCGGTGGAGCTCCCTATGGGGCCACGAAACGTGTGAGGGGTGTGCCGAAATGGGCGCGGCGCCGCCATGCCAACGCAGCCACTGGGGCCTTCGGTGGAGCTCCCTATGGGGCCACGAAACGTGTGAGGGGTGTGCCGAAATGGGTGCGGCGCCGCAATGCCAACGCAGCCACTGGGGCCTTCGGTGGAGCTCCCTATGGGGCCACGAAGCGTGTGAGGGGTGTGCTGAAATGGGTGCGGCGCCGCCATGCCAACGCAGCCACTGGGGCCTTCGGTGGAGCTCCCTATGGGGCCACGAAACGTGTGAGGGGTGTGCCAAATTGGGTGCGGCGCCGCCATGCCAACGCAGCCACTGGGGCCTTCGGTGGAGCTCCCTATGGGGCCACGAAGCGTGTGAGGGGTGTGCCGAAATGGGTGCGGCGCCGCCATGCCAACGCAGCCACTGGGGCCTTCGGTGGAGCTCCCTATGAGGCCACGGAACGTGTGAGGGGTGTGCCGAAATGGGTGCGGCGCCGCCATGCCAACGCAGTCACTGGGGCCTTCGGTGGAGCTCCCTATGGGGCCACGAAACGTGTGAGGGGTGTGCCGTGATAGTGGGAGGAGGGAGGAGGGAGGGGGGAGGAGGCGGAGGAGGAAGGAAGGAAGGAAGGAAGGAAGGAAGGAGAGGAGACGCGGGGCGCTGTCTCTTCAAAACGAGGACCCGACACCACGGGATGGTTGGGAAAAAGAGCGCGACGTTCCCACACCAGAAGTCCATGGACGCCCTGGGGCCTCAGGTCTCTTGTGGACTGGCCTCCGGCGTAGCCTCGTGATGCCGTTTAGCGGCCGCGCCTCGCCGAGGGCGCTCCGGGGGAGCCCCGCCCCGATCGGCCGATGGAGGTCCGACGTGTGGCCACAGAGCACATGGCTTCCCCGCGTCGTGAAAGATGGCGACAGCGAGAAAACATACAGACAACACCGGCCTCTGGGGCCCTCGCCGGGCCTCGGGACCGTCAGTCAAGAACCGACCACGGATGAGAAGCCGGTCCTCACGAAGGGGTCCAGACCTTCTGGGGGTCCGCGTCGTTTTTCTTCATCCTTCCCGCTCCCTCCTGCCTCCCCCCTTTCCCCTTCTCCCTCCCTCCTCCCTCCTGCTTCGTCCTCCTCCCTCCGCCTCCCTCCTCTCTCTCTCCGCCTTCCCTCCTACCTTCTCCTCCTTCTCCTCGCGCCAGGGGAAGTCAGGCTTGGACGTCAGCCCACTTCCAAACAAAGGGTTGCACGTGCCCGTTCGCTGCCAGATTGTGATGAATGTCTGCGGCGAAACCGCAGGTTTTGGCAGCCGGGCTCCGCTCTTGTCGGAGGCCCTTGGGCCCCCGAAGGGGGGAGCTGCCGAGGTGTCTTCCACGGATTCGTTCGCGGCCAGAGAATGGGACCGTCTCGGCGGAAACCTGCGCAAGCCTGCTCTCAGGCGATCGCAAACATGGATCAAGGGGGCGTGGATTAGCCACGGGTCCAGTTTCCATGGGAAATCGCGGATTTCCGCCGCCGAGCGAGGCGGCACTGGCCGCATTTTGGGGACGGCACCTCCCCCGATCCACGGATTTGGCGACCGCGCGCCAAATCCATGGATCGCTAATCCATGCGCGCCCCCGATGCACAGACACGGACAGGCACCCGCAGGCACCAACCAAGACTGTCAGGCAGCGGCAGCACCACCGCGCTTCAGGAGGAACCGTAGGACAGTTGCCCGTTCGCTGGGATTTTGTGGAGATGTCTCGGGCGAGGCGCTTGTTCTGCACCTCCGACGCTTTTCCTTGTCAGAGCCCCATGAGTTACCGCGATGTAACCGACGGGGGAAACCGATTTTGTGGCATAGCATTCGGGCGCCCAATGGGGGAACCGCCATGGGCGGCAAGAGAAGGCAACACACGGCGGCAGAGAAAAACAGAGGAACACTCACACTAGGACTTGCACATGCTCACTCTTACTCGCGCTTGTACCCAACTGCGTGCGGCTGTGCAACAGCTCAGCAGCAAAAATATTGAATGTAGGAAAAGCGCAATTCCGACGACATGTCTGAACTGGGAATGGCGTGACCTCGACCTCGTTTTTGTTTTGCGGTATGAAGGCTGATGAAGATGAGGAGGCGAAGACACAGGAGGATTGTGTATTCTGTTAAACCGTTTCGATTGGGTGAGCACGCGGGTATAACAGTGAACGTAGCGGACACGACTCGGTTAGGACCACCCAACGTGCGTCGACCGATTGCACTGTAGCTCAAGGCTTATGTTTCCGCAGCAGAGAAAATTACTCTTACGTATCGTATTTTCATGGCGGCGGAGCCCGTGTTTCGCCCCACCGGTTCCAGTGCGCGCGGGTAACTCCCCGAAGCAACCGCCTTCCTGCGATGGCCGCGGCGGCAGCCGCGACGGCTCCACCGAATCCAGGTACAGCTGATTCAGTTTTCGATGTGACGTTACCTGGGGCCCGAGAGGGCTGGTTCAACTTGAGCACCAACCGATTCGTGGAACTGTGCACTGCTGGGTACAATACGAGAGTGGAGCAACCAGGTATGTTCACATAACGTTCGAAACCAACGTTGACAAGATGACATCGCTGTTCGATCGCAGCGCTACGCTAGGCACCATCATGGTTGACCATGGCGAGGCATTCGCAGTTGTGGGTGAGCCACAAAATGAATGCGTTTTTGATACCGGCCGTCAGTCGCAACATGTGCGGCAAGGACCACTTGAATAACTTAAGAACGCGCTTGGGCAAAATTTCAATGCGAACCAACCGCTTCGGAGCATGTTCCCGACATCGCTGGGGCCATGCCGTTTTCAGAAACTTCTCGGACCGGGGGAGGTGGAAGCAAACCCGTAAGCGAATGCAAGGCGGTTCA